ATCCTCCAGATTTGGATATGAACATTTCGGGACTGGCTGAGACCTCCTTGTGTCGTTCTGAGAGTTCACCAGAGGCATGCTGTCAGTTTGGCTGTTGGCAGAACGCAGGCGTCTCACAGCTGACGGAGGAAGAATGTATTAATTTTCACGGTGTGCTGCGTCCACTGTCCACTGTGGAGCAGTCATCGGATTTACTGCTGCCTTAGCAGTACATGTACATGTAGTTGGCTTCTCTGACTGACAACTTCGTTGTACATTCAGCTAGCTGCAGGGAAGATGTCACATTGTGTATATAATGTACATGTATAGTGTAGACTTTGATTCAAAATACATGTACATTGTACGTGCACGATTCTTGCTGAAACGATTCAACTACAGTCATTGTACATGTACATGTACATGTACATGTAGTTACGCACGTAGAATGACTTGAGGAGAGGGTGAGACCAACCACGGAAGAAGAGAAAAGAAAAGAAAAGAAAAGCACGTACACAAAAGGGGTAGGGATTAGCAAGTTACAAAGCAATGGGATGCCCAGCGAGCTATGCAGCGGAAGTGGTGTGACTGTGATTTCTCGGACGACTCACCTAGACTAGAGTGGGTTTTGTCTGAAAACGTTTTTTTTATTTAAAAGGAGAAAATCGGTATAATAATAATAATGGCATGGTCCTTCTCTTCCTACATGTACCTTGTACATGTACATGTACATGTACATACTCAATCTGCGGACAGAACTGTTTCGTTCTTTGTGGATTCATCAGCGCAGCACAGAGAAAACGAGGCCGACCCTAGAAGCAATGAAAAGAAAAATTCCAAAGCCAGATTTAAACCAGGCCCGAACGTACATGTACATGTACATGTACATGATTGTACATATCTATGTACCTTGCCAGAGTTCTCAAACTGACAAGTCAGTGAACTCTGCATAACGCAAACAGCAAAGGCACTACCGTACCTGTACATGTACATGTACAATTGTACATTGTGTGTATCTTCATTCTCATAATTTTTCTTTCTGGGGTAACGGCCTCTTTTACGGGCAAAAAAAGTCATGTAGACGTGAAAAAATGAGATACCATGAAAGGTAAAATAGAATTTTATCCAAGTACAATACATTGGGAAACTCCAAGAAACTCCACGTAAAACATCATTCTCATAATAGTTACATACATGTACATGTATACGGATACGCTTCTTGCCTCCTCAATATTTTTAAACTAACAATCAGTGGCTATTCAAAACTTTTCATCAAGAGATGTATCTGGATAATCTTACCTCATTTGACTGCCAATTCATACAGAGCACAGTCGCATACATGTACAGTACATGACTTCATATTCACGTACATGTACATGTACGTTTGAGTGGCATCTCCCTTGATGGCACCAATAAATTCAGTCATGTACTGTACATGTATGCGACTGTGCTCTAGCTGGCACTTCGCAAACGCTAATTGTACCAAATTTTGGTGTGTATCGTTGTATATTTTGGTGTGTATCGATGTACAATGTACAATGTACATGTACATGTACATGTACATCACTTCTCAAGGGACACCGGTGGCCATTATCATGGGTAGGATCAGGATGGGTAAGCTAAACAAACAAATTGGTGTGACCATCAGTAGGGCACTACATTGTATGGAAGAGAAATAAACTACATGTACGTGTACATTGTACATCGTGTACCTGTATATGGAGGGCTTAGGGTGAGAGTGTAGGAGAGAGATCATCAGAAGTTTAGCTGAGACTACACTACGCCGGAAGGAGGGGGCAGGAGCATGATGTTTGCCATCGTATCCACTGGAATTACAAACATCGAGAACGACCGTTAACCGTTGTACTTTCCCTAACAAGAGTGGAAAAACTAGTACTGTGGAAGCGGGCAGTTCAATCTTCGATGAGAATGACGTAGAAGGTACATGTACATTTACATGTACATTGTACATTGTGCATTGTACTCGTAGTTCCCATTGTATTTAAAGCGGCAATTAAAATATTGATGACAATGCATGCAGATCTGTTTGCTGATATTGTCCAGTGTTGGTGACTTTGCTAATCACAACTCGCCATCGTGATATGAAAACATACGGTATGCTTGTACACGTAGCGATGCACACGACTGTACATGACTGTACATGATTGTATATCCGGATGAGCAGGATCGAGTTGGATTCACACTCCACACCTTTCTTTGCCTGGGGATGTCCTCTTGGTCGGCTCGGGATCTTCCGGGGGTTTGTCACACGACCAAGTCACAGAACAGCTGCACGGGGAAAGGAAACCTGGAGGCGAAAGACGGCCTCAATTCACTTAGAATTTGACACGTGGCGGACACCGTGAGGAATGCAAGATAAATTATATCCGAAGATGACGATGCTTGTCTTCCCTACAGTCAAGTTACTTAGTTGCTAAGGTTGTGTCAACTGCGAATGTGACGCGAAGGACTAAAGGGACCGTCACTTAATTTTTGCCGACTACCCGCCAAAAAAATCTTTTCGTTTCACGTGTCAGACACGTCCGCGAGCGCGCGTACGCGTACGACTCTCGCGGGCCCGCGCGCGCTACCTTTCACGTCAGGCAATCCAGAATCTGTTCACGCCACATGGCTGGATAGCGCGTACATGCAAACATGATTGAAGACTTGCAAAATCAATTTTTTTCCAAGTCCAGGTGCTAGGCCTAGGCAGTACTAATGCCTACATGTAATGCCAAGGCAGCTGACTTTATTTTCGGAGAGACACTACACAACTCATTGAAGTAAAAAGTAACAATGAATAGCGATATCATCTAGGAAGGATCGCTACCCTAACGCGAAGGAAAGGCCTTGCGCGGCTGCTCTACGAAGTGTTGAAGAAAGACTCATCAAAGTTGGTGGACGAACAACTTGCTGGCGCCGGAAAACTTGGCCCCCAACGATGGTGTTTGGTGAATCATCAAGCATAATGTCTTGTAGCAGTGATCACCGAGGAAGGAGAACGCTCTAGCCGCTGCTGTTGTCCGTTTCATCCACGTTGGGCGTTAGCTGCACCGCGCCTATTGTGTTTTAGTATTCCATGGACACACATTAGCATTCAGAGCGATTGTGGAGCCACAATTTACTTCACACAGCGTTGTATTGTCCACGAGCGCAAACTTAATTATCAGCAGTAACTGTTACTCTTCATCCTTCATTGTAGACTTGGAGTATACACGGCCTTGTCACGACAGCGACAGCTCTACAGAGTGTTCAAGTGAGAAACATTAATTTCTATTGTTGGTGGACGAATAAATGGCTGGTTCCGAAAAAACACGGCCTGCACCGATGGTGTTTGGTGGATCATCAAACAGGGTGACCAGCAGTGTTCACCGAGGAAGGAGAATGCACTCGCCACCACTGCGATTCATCCAAGTGGGCGTTAGCTGCGCCGCGCCTATTGTGTTTTAGTATTCCATGGATGCACACTAGCGTTCTCAGCGATTGTGGAGCCACAACATATCTTCATGCGGCTTTGCACTGTCCAAGAGCAGAAACGTCAGCAGTGACCCTTCATCATACATGTAGATTTGGAGTATACACACCATGCGCCAATGGGCCTTGGCACAACAGCGGCAGCTCTACGGAGTGTTCAAGTGAGAAACATTTTTTTCGACTTTTGGTGGACGAACAAATCGTCGGTGCCGAAAAACGTGGCCTGCGCCGATGGTGTTTGAACCATCGAGGGCTCCGGAAGCAGCAGCTGAGCCAGATCAGCCAGTCTTTTCCAACTCTCAGTTGCCGGACTCCGTGCTGCAGCTAGCAGCACTGGCACCAGCCGGAAATATTTTTCCGCCGATACCCGTTACTTCCAGTTCTGTCAAGGGCATAACTGGAATCCATTGCCAGGTGATGACTTTTTACTTTATGTGTTATTTTGCTGCCGAGTTGTTCAGAACTTTTCAGCCCCGATCTGTCCATGTCTACATGTCAGCCATCCGCAAACTTCATGTGGAAGTTGGCTTTACCTACCCGTCAGGCCCAATGACTCTCCTCGCAAGGTTCCTGTCGGGCATCAACAGGTCATCATCGACACAGCGTCATCGCCTGCTGATAACCAATCAACTTCTCAGGGAGATTAGCCGGCATGTTGCCTTTCCACGGATGTGGCACCGTCATGACAAGGCCATGCTAAGGGCAAACTGACTGCTTTATTTTAGCTTTACATTACCGCAGTCAGTCCAGCACAATACGCCAATCGTATTTCACTATTACTCGCGTGTCATAATTGGGGATATGGGCTGCTCCGCCCTATATCCCTGATATTCCAACTAGACGAAAAGTGTGTTCTGAGCCTGTATCGCGTATAATAGGCTCATCGTAAAACAAATAATAAGTCTTAAAAATCAGGGTTCACGTGACACTCGGGTTCCAGCCAAGTTTTCCGCATCCGCAGGAACGCTACCCCCCCCCCCCCCCCCCTCTTGAATCATAGCATAGTGGACTCTGCAATGAACAGATTATGAAACTCCCTGCAGATTTACTACGATCATTTCTGGTGACTGGTCTTGGGGCACCGTGGAAGCTGTGACTGGTTGCCAAGTTTTGTTTTGTGACTGAACATGGGGCATTTGTGACTACTTCGAAGCACAGCTCTGATTGATCACAGAGTCTTACTGTTGTGAATATTTATATCGATTGAGAAGTCAAGCAGCCACGGGGCGCTGGCCTTGCAGCTGTGAGTATGCATACGGTACATATTCACATGACTCTATTGTATGCTGGACACTGCTGGTCCATTGTTGCAGTGTGTAAGTGAACTGCAGAACCTATTCCGTGATGAAACACCTACTCTTGAAAGCCTGAATGTTTGAACTAATAGTCTTTTACTTCACTCTCATGCTGCTCATATAATTATACCATCGTGACGCCAGAAGACCCTAAGTTAGTTCTAAGATTTTGTGGACCATGTGACCATGTGGTACTTTCACTCTACAGCCAAGTCAACCTCTTCGTCAACACACAGGGTTTTCCTCAGACACAAGCGAATGGTTTACTCCACTCTGGAGAAGAACACAGTTTGCTCTCTCGAACACCAACCGCAGATAACTACGGAATGTACTTCAGAAGTAGGAAGTGCAACAACTGCTAGAATATTGAACTGTCGTCCACACAAAACAACTTGATAAAGACAACTGAAAACCAAAACACATGCAACTGCCAACATGCATGTAACAGCAACTGCAAGCCAGAACTACAGACTCCGCGCAGGGAGGAACAGGGGAAACAGAGGTAACGCTTCCGACTCCGAGAGCTTCGAATAGCAGCGGACAAAACAATCCATCAACCTTGCGTGTCACCTTGCGCTACCGCAAACGAACACCTATGGATGCACAGTGCAGCACAGACTCAGTGCATGCACGGTGTAATAACTGGAGTACATGTAAACCGACAACGGTCACCTTGCACCCTATGCAGTAAGTTACATAGGCGGTGCCAACAAAAGAGCAGGGTTCGTGTATCGTGCACACTCCAATGGCACAGCAGAAAATTTTCTCACCAAGGCAATAGCCACTGCTAGCTGTTTTGTCATCTTGCTGTGCCAAATGATGCTGTATAGACGCGCCAAGCAGTGCTGTTCTGAAGTCATTCAGTTTCCATTGTGTCCCTGCATCTGAAAAGCCTCGCGATTCGTCCAGTTGAATCAGCGTTCGGCATGATCCGTATCTTGGTCACAGCACCGTGTGACGATCTGGTGACATCAGACGGATATAATACACAAGAGACAATTGTGATATTTCTACGTTGTGTTAACTTCAGATACATAATCTAAATAAAAGGGGGGTTGTCAACCGACAACCGCTCTATTTAGTTGCTTTTCACTCTTTAGATGAAAATTCTTTTATTAATTATGTCGAAAAATTATGCGGTTGTCAGTTGACAACCACCCTTTAATTTACACTGCAGTTGCGTGATGTCCACCACTTTCTGTACATAATCTAAGAGTACTAAAACAGCCACTGACTTCCAACTACCAAGGGAAAGCAAGCCCAAGCACAGGAGAACCGTGCGCGCGGGTACGTGACATATAATATCGTAGTAGAGCTGGCAGGCAAGGCATGATCAGGGGTTCAGGCCCTGCCTGTAAACGCTCTGATTGGCTCAAACCCTGGCAACAATCACGTGACATGTCTGAAAATACAAGTAGGTGCGATTTATGCTGAAGTTCAAACTGACGGAACACGTGCAGCGCTACACCATGAACCGTGTGGAAACAAAAATAAGTAGAGGAGACACGGGATAACAGACATGAACTCAGGGTCAAACTGATAACTGTGAAACGTGAATGCATGCAGTATATGGAGCCAAAACAAAGTCACAGAATTCAGTACGTAACAAGTACTACACACTAACCTCGTACATGAGAATGTCGTGACACTATTTGAATTAGCTCTTACACCCCACTTATGTTTCAGTCAGTAAGAGTACACATGCGTACTTACGTTGACTCTATTTTATCTGACTTGTCCAACACCATCGTTGTGAGCCTTCGGCACTTGGGAATACACAGGACAGATAAGATAGCAGCAAGAGCATCTCCCCGCTCTGTGAACACAGCTCAGACGCCATGCTTCATGATTGTGTGCCCATCGAATACAAGGACACAATAGGCTTGGTGCAGCTAACGAAATGGATGAACGGTCGACGGCCTGAGTGTTCTCCTTCCTCGATCAACACTGACAGTCACCACATACCATGCTTGATGTTTCAAGCACCATGGCGCAGGCCACGTTTTTCGGCACCGACGATTTGTTCGTCCACCAAAAGTCGAAACAAATGTTTCTCACTTGAATACTCCGTAGAGCTGCCGCTGTTGTGCCGAGGCCCATTGGCGCATGGTGTGTATACTCCAAATCTACATGTATGATGATGGGTCACTGCTGACGTTTCTGCTCTTGGACGCCGCATGAAGATATGTTGTGGCTCCACAATCGCTGAGAACGCTAGTGTGCGTCCATGGAATACTAAAACACAATAGGCGCGGCGCAGCTAACGCCCACTTGGATGAATCGGAGTGGTGGCGAGTGCATTCTCCTTCCTCGGTGAACACTGCTGGTCACCCTGTTTGATGATCCACCAAACACCATCGGTGCAGGCCGCGTTTTTTCGGAACCAGCCATTTATTCGTCCACCAACAATAGAAATTAATGTTTCTCACTTGAACACTCTGCATGATCTGTAGAGCTGTCGCTGTCGTGACAAGGCCGTGTATACTCCAAGTCTACATGTAGGATGAAGAGTAACAGTTACTGCTGATAATTAAGTTTGCGCTCGTGGATAATACAACGCCTTGTGAAGTAAATTGTGGCTCCACAATCGCTCTGAATGCTAATGTGTGTCCATGGAATACTAAAACACAATAGGCGCGGTGCAGCTAACGCCCAACGTGGATGAAACGGACAACAGCAGCGACTAGTCTAGAGCGTTCTCCTTCCTCGGTGAACACTGCTACAAGACATTATGCTTGATGATTCACCAAACACCATCGTTGGGGGCCAAGTTTTCCGGCGCCAGCGAGTTGTTCGTCCACCAACTAAATTTGATGAGTCTTTCTTCAACACTTCGTAGAGCAGCCGCGCAAGGCCTTTCCTTCGCGTTAGGGTAGCGATCCTTCCTAGATGATATCGCTATTCATTGTTACTTTTTACTACAAGGAGTAGTGTTTCTCCGAAAATAAAGTCAGCTGCCTGGGCATTGATTAGGCATTAGTACTGCCTAGGCCTATCGCCTGGACTTGGAAAAAAATTGATTTTGCAAGTCTTCAATCATGTTTGCATGTACGCGCTATCCAGCCATGTGGCGTGAACAGATTGCTTGACGTGAAAGGTAGCGCGAGTACGAGTCGTACGCGCTCGCGGTCCGCGGACGTGTCAGTGACACGTGAAACGAAAAGATTTTTTTGGCGGGTAGTCGGCAAAAATTAAGTGACGGTCCCTTTAGTCCTTCGCGAATGTGACAGTTGAGACAGCAACAGAGAACGGTCTTTCCGTAGGGTTTCCGTTCTGCCCGTGAGAGGAGTTTGGCCTTGGCACCGTCGTGGCCTATCAGGCCAAGCGGGTGTTTGTTAACCAAGTTGATCCAACCTCGCCTCCGCAAATGTCACGTGATGTTCCCCCTATGTGTGAATTTCTCCTGGCTTTGGGCGGAATTCTCAATCAATTGCGGGCACAGTTGCGTCATGTCGGGAAAATTGAACTCAACAAGCTGTGCAAATAGTTCTGTGCGCATGGGTTACTAAGAAAGGGATAGATTTCAATCAGATCGAGGTTTGGCCGGAACTGAAAATAGACTTGTAAGTTGTAACCGAGAATGTGCCACCTTTATTTACATGTATGAGCATCGAGAGAACTCTAGACTAGATCTTACAGCGCCGATGATCGAGGGCAATCTAAGCGTGCAAGTGTCTATATCGCGACTGATTATAGCCATTTGTCGTCTCCATTCTTGTGCAATCATGTACAGATGTAGGTTGGTTCTCTTCATGTTATTGTGACCTATTTCATACATGCACATGTAGATGTTGGTTGCCTTGTTGCTTTCCCTCCCCTCTCCTCTCACCCAAGCCATTCTGCATAAGGGAAGCTGTGGACGCAGCATACTGCTGCTACACTTCAACGCGGGAATGCGTATAATAATAATAACAACAATATCGCGACTGGTGCCTTGAAAGTCCAAAATACAAATATATTAATTGCACGAATAACCAGTACATGTGTGTTTGAGGTGGCATGCAGATTGACCTTCACATTGGTAATTGATCAACGATCAGCTTGGATAAGAGTATGAGTAACTGTCCACGGCTGAGTGATGGATAGTTGTTCATACTTCATGTACATGTATCTCGTCCACGTCTCCCTTCTCTTGATTGCATTTAATACTGGGTCAGTATCCGAGCCAACGATCAGCTTACTGTTATAAATACATCGAAAACACCATAGATTTTCATGATACGAATGAGTCTATCCGATCTACCCTAGCTCCCTCTCACTCTAAACGAGTAGATGTAGTGGGTAATCTCATCTGACGCTGGTAACGGGGATTTAGTTTTCAGGCTGCACAGCACACCCGGCCCACATGATCCACTCTGTTGAACCTTTGCCAGGGAGAGATTATGACCTTCTGGAACTCTTCATGGCCTGTTACCTGAACATTACCATAGAGAGTCCTGAAACAGGCGCCATACATGTACTTGTACATGTATATGCCTCTCCATCTACTGGCAATCACGACAATCATGAATCATTGAGCGGGGAACAGCTGACGCCATTCGTGCTGAGCAGACACCGTGACAAAAAAGTGCATGTACTTGTATGTGAATTAGTTGGCATAATGACAGTACATTGAACGCTAACCACAACAACAGACTCGCCTCACTCTGTGTTCAGTATTCACCCTGACAATAACTTTGTTGGCGTGATAGCGTGACGTGATTGAAACAAAAGGTGCAACATATGTTCCATATCTCACGGAATCACTTCACGAATGAATGCATTCTAGAGCTAGTTACAATCATGAACTACTCTTAGCGTACTGTGTATACTGGTCACCTCCAAAAGGCCCGCACATCGTTGAGCTGGATATCGACCAAGCACAACGTACATCATACATGTACAATGTATCACATGATTGTGACTTCGAAGTAACTATGATTAGTATAAGGCCTATTTCAGATGTCACAAACTTTGCCGTAGAAGATTGATCTTTTTCATCGTAATCAGTCGGTCGCAGGGACACCAAGGACATAAGCCATAATCAGATATTACTACTAATGGAACAGTTTGAAGTCGGCGCCTCGCCTGAACATGCATGTACCGGTACATCAGGAACTATTACTTGTACGTGTCCCACCATTGCGCCATCATCATCCACTGATTTGCATTGTGTGGTACATGTACAATTTATGTCCTTCTCAAACTACCTCAGTACTTGCCAGGCTTTAGGTAAGTCAGGAGTTTAATAGTTAGGTGACTGTGGGCAGTGCTAGTGTGGCCCTTAGCTGTTGGGGTAATCCGTCACATCCGTGTCACAGCAGTGCATGTGGGCGGATGATGTTCATCAAACTTAAAGGATGCGGTCGGTGTCGTCGTCAGCTGTGTGAGTACTTGCGTGGATGTCAGTGAACGGAAGGTAGACACCCGAAATCGGCACAGTTAATAAGTGGCTTGATGCCCTGCTGTCCTGACAGATTCCAGGCTGATACGTTGAAAGGGAACTCTCGCATCCTACCTGGTACTCATAGTAAATTTGGTTTCAGAAGACGAATTTGCATACAAGTCAAGACGCTCATATCCCTGATACGATTGCTAGCACTTGGTAGCTATCTGTGTTGTGTACCTACATGTACGTGTATGTTGCCTTGAAACTGGCACCGGCTCGCGTCAAGTGGAAAATGTCAAGACCCTGTGTAATCAAATTTCTTCCATCATCTTCATGAGCCAACTCTCTAGCTGGAAAATTAATGAATGGCTGGGATTGGCATTGAAATAACTAATTGAAATAATGCCTTTGCATGCATTAAAAACGTTAGAGTAGTTGCCAGTATGACCGCTGTTTAGTTGATTTCGTTAATATGAATTTACACGACGTACATGTACATGAACATTACACACATTGTATGTATTGGTCCGAATTGTTCCACTACATTCCACCTACATGTAAATACCGGTATACATGTATCGGATTTGTTCATAAACTGCTCCCTTCGATTTACTTCGGGGTTACGATTACAGTGTGGACGTAAAACATGTATATTTTAGTCCTGTATCAGCTGCGTGATCAAGTATCCAGCCATCCAGGGGCAACACACTTACACAGATTCTGCCTGCAGTGCAATGGTCGAGACTATACTGATGGGCTCCGGGCATTCCAAAAGAGCCACAGTTAATATCCACTTTTAAAACGGTCTAAGATTTAAAGTAAGAACCAGTGGCGCGGTTGGATGTTATTTGGGGGCAAAGCAAGCCACTCTCATGTGCATCGTCTCTCTTTGCTACGGGAAGACCAGCAGTACTAGTGATATTCGATAGATCTACGAACATGTACCAGGATACCCCTGAAGAACTGAGGAAATATCGTCGTATCTACGATTACTATAGATGTGTTACTAGTATAGATTTTTTCCTGCATGTGTTGGCGAATAAGGCAGCAAGATGCATTTAAAATACATGACTACCTAGGCTGTAGTACTATAACTTATAAGTAACTATCACATAAACAATGCCTGGAGTCGATTCTACGAGTGACTTGTTCTCATTTTAGTCCCTGGGAGGACAGCCAACCTCGTGAATAACGACCTACGGTATAACGACAGCTCAAAAGACACAATCTTCGGACATGGTGACCATTCGTCAGCATACTTTCAACCTCACAAATAACTCGCGAATAACGACACTTTTCTGATTCTGCACGCTGGATCATGGAGGCCGAGGGTCGACCGGTCGCGACTCGCAACTAACTAACGTTCTTGATCACGCGAGTACTTCAGCAGAGCGCGACCACTGGGGGCTAGCCCCCACTCAGCCATCAATCAACGTCTTTCAGTGAGGGGGTTACGCGCCGCACGTACACCCACTCACCCTCACGCGCACGCCTGCTAGCTCCAGGACCATAGCCGGGCATAGGATCCTTGGACAATCCTGGCCTGCTGCATGCCATGCATGCATGCCCCGTCGAGTTGTCCACGCGTCCTGCTCTCGGAAAGACAATCATCACCATTATGTGTGACACTCTTTTACCAAATCTTGCTTTGCATGCAGCATGCACCAGTGGCAGTGCGCGCCAACTCCTACGACTCGCACACGTACACCATGTACACACAGAACAGGTGCACTGAGCTGAGTAAGATCGGAGTTTGGCACCGAGCTGCTCGCGTGTCCAAGCCGTGGGCGGCATATCGTCGTGTCGAGCGCCAGAGTGCCTGAGGTTCTGACAACCTGCTAGGCCAGTTTATAAGAGCACGCGGTTTGTGTGCAGGAATCAGATCAATCCCTAAAAAGTCCAGAGAATGTGAACATTGGACGTGCCCTGTAAACTGAAACATCACAGCGTAGGTTTAGTCGCTCGATATTGCTATCACAGTGCAGGTCTAAGCTACTCGATATCGCTTTTCCTTGAAGAAATCATTTCAAGATGAATTCGTTCGCCTCGGAGTTTCTTAACTACAACATTCCCCTGGACAGCGATTTGACGTCCTCAGAGTTGTCCTTCGCGAGCTCAGCATGCAGTTTCAGCTCTGCTGCAAGTGGTGCATCTAGCATCCAATCGTCCCTCGGCAATGGCTTTGGAGATCTTTCCCTTGGACCTGCTGCTCCCACCACATCCATTGCAAGGCAATTGAAAGTAGATGCGTTGCGTCGACAAATTTCCGTGGAGGAGGTGAGATCCGTCAAACTCCCGCTTTGTCCTCAATAATCTCCAACTAGCGATCCTTTCAATCCATGACATTTTTCGTTCGAACAGAAGAAACATTTGCCTGGATCTATGGATAAGAGGGTCATGCAGAAGCTTCGTGACTTTCTTACTTACTGTGTAGTGCTAGCAGTGGAGAAAGAGGTTTTCTCGATCACCCATTGAAAGATTCTCAAACTGCTAATATCTCTCCTAGTAAACTAAAGTTATCTGGTATTTGCCTCTGTTGTCCTGTGTGTATTTAGACATTCGCTAGACCTCCAGCGTTCATTCAGCCTCAGCCATGTGGGTATGCACCCGCTTTGGACAACGGCAGCCTGGCCACTCGACCAGTGTTTTTGCCTCAGGGACCCCCTACTATGAACGTAGCTGATGCTTGGTCTAGTACTGCAGTGGCCACGTATGCTCCTACCTACCCACCAACCTGCGCTGACCAGCAGCCTCAGCAGCAGCAGCCTCAGCAGCAAAACTGTTCCTTTGCTCCTCAGTTTGTGCCATGTGGACCACCGACCCAGCTGAGCATGGATACACCTTGTGGACCACCAGTCAGCCAGCAGTTGAACGGAATGTCCGAGTTCACTGCAAGATATCCACCGCTGGCTGACACTCCATGCAGTGCACCGACTGCATCACTGACAGCAATGCAGCCTCTACAACTTCAGAGTATGAATGACCTGATCAACACTCCACCTATGGAGCAGCAACAGCAGTCAACAATCCTTGCTGGAGCCAGTTCTACATCCAACATGTCGCTGGGACAGGCTGGGCCAAATGAAGACCCATCATGCAAATCAATGAGCAATGCTGATGGAGATGAAAGTGATTCTGATTCTGACACATCTCCAATGATGCCTACCTGCCGTTATCACCCGCGGCTGCGCAAGACTCGTCTGAGGCCCGAAAACTCGCTGCTGACTGGCAAGCGTAAATACCGCTGTGAAATGTGCACGATGACTCTTGAAGCATGGGTGACTAACAACGGCACGAATCCCGACGCTCCTAGCAAAACCGAGCTGCTGGCGGTGGTTGGAATGACTCGCAAGCAGCTCAACTACTGGTTTGCCAACCGCCGGCGAATGGAGCGGCAGGCGGCCAAAGATCCAAACCGAGCGAAGCGCGCCAACACACTGCAACGCTGTTCTTCGGATGCGATGACGTTCGATGGCCCAAGTCCGGGCATGATGCCTAACTGGCAGGGCTACAGCGGTCCGCCACAGCAGTATCTCGATGTAAGCGCTATGGACTTCTAGCTTGGAAGAACTGAACACAATCCTCACTGACCACTGTGCCGACACGTTCCCCTGATAATCCAGCCATGAACATGTACACTATAATAGATACGATAGTGAGTCTTTACTCATCACTTAACCTTACACTGTGATCAACCTCCGGGTTCTTGATATTTGTTAACTTGAACGACCTGCTGCTGATTCTGCGTTGCCAAAATTAATGCCTTCCTTATGCATGTGTGTGCTGAACATATAACGTTACTGCAACAAACTGATCTTGAGTGCTGTCTACCCTGCCTTGTGTATATGGATATACAGACACAAGTGCAGGTGTTGAATGGCGTTGACGTGACACTGCTATCATGACTATAACTCTAGAGAGCATCAATCTACATGTGTACCACCATCCTTACACCTCAGTGTTGCCCTGAAAATTCAACAATCTCTAAAAAAAAACTGAACTGGTCAAGCTGGGAATTAGGCTCACTGCATGTACTGGTAATGGAGTTTGCGAGGGTATCTACATGTAGATCGTGTGTAAATGGTCCAGGATTGCGATAACCGTCTATACTAGAATGAACAGTAATCATCACAGGAGCAGGAATCCACCAAGGCCATGAAAGAATACACTACACCGATAACAATGGACAAATAACTGCCAGGAACTTTCTGCTCTGTGTAGTCACTGCGCAGGAGTAATTCACGACATGCATAACGTTCCTACATTCGTACCCACTGGACACAAGTCAAGTCAAGTGATTGGAAGGAATTCCTACATTTTTCCCTAAGAATGCCATGCTTGTGGATGAAGTAGTTATTGTGTGGGTTAATGGTGGTGGTGATGTACATGGCCCGTAGGATGCAATGGCTTGTAGCGATTTATTTGCTTTCCCTTTGTAGTGATTTGGGAGGCAAAGCCCAGCGGATATTCTACTTAGGAGGGGGTATACACACACCATACCTGTGTGTTACTTAGTTACTTACTAACTTAGCTCTGTCCCTCATCCAACTACAGGTACCGGCATTGCAGCACCTAACTAACCTCCGCAAGCTAGACAAGTGGCCCCCTTACTGGGCCTTATGCCATTATGGTCTTGCTTGTCCTCTAAAGGCGCTCCATTGTCAGGCATTTTTTTGCTGTCAGCTGTTCATGGCCGGTCTGATATCATTGACATTGTACTTTTGTAGCTAGCTACATGTATACTGTACTGTAGCTAGCTATAGCCTAGGCCAGCACAGGCATATATATGCGCATATGTACATAATTATGTGCGTACACGCGCGCACGTGTTCGAGATGTCAATGCTGTCCACGTGATGCTTGTATTGTAGCAGATACAATGTAATTGGCATGACAAGCATACAAGTATGCCACGAAAAGACTTCAACCTAATTCAGAGCTTACCTGACACCACATGTAGGGCTTCATCTTGAGCTTTTTAAACATTTTAGTCACACACTACGCCGCGCATACGCTTGAAAGAACTCCCCGGCTGCAATACGTACATGTATACCATGTACTGAAGAACTATTTTTAAAATTACACTGTACAGTACATGTACATGGCTGTACTAATAGTAGTGGGCCAGATTATCAGCAAGCATCCTGATTTGCAGTACTCTAGCGTTATGGAACGGTTGAGGTGCTGTTATGTATTTCTTTCTTGCTCTTGAATTGTTTATGACGTGTTTCCGTGGATGCATGCAGGGCATCCTATTTGCGCCGCCGACCACGCTCATTCTTGATCACTGCCGCTTGCAAGATTTGTACTTGTACTTGTAGGCTGGCTGCATCCGAATAATAGTGTGTTCACAGTTCAGCATCTTTTTGCAGGAATGCTTGGTAGGGAGGGCCGAAACACATGTACATGTATGCCCAAATATTTCGCATATTGTGCTCTTCGCATATTATTGCAATATTGGCCCCTTGCTTCAAAATATCCATCGAAATCACCCAAAAGCAGAAAAATATACTCGAAATATACTTGCCAAAGTTGCCATGCCACGTCGCAGCTCGAAAACACTGATATTGGAAGTTATAGAAACACGGGTGTTGAGCCAATGGTAATATGTAAAGAGAAAAGGACCTACATTGTACATGTACATGTACATGATTGTGATTGTATAAGTACATGTTTGTTTGTTTTTGTGAATCCTTCCCAAAAACAAACGCTCGTTTTATACATCGTGTAATTACTCAGCATTATTTGCAATAATAATATTTTTGGAAGTTATGGACTCGGATGGAGAGCCAAGGATTAATTTATAAGAAAGAAAAAGGACCAAGGAACTACAAGTTTCCGCGGCAATAATGTCCACTAACAACACCAGTTACTAAACAATCAGCTCATGCGATAACATTGCACGACACTGACCGACGGTGCCGACGTTCTAAAACTAACAGGCTAACAGCTCCAGCACATCTTGGATGTGCACTCCAACAGCCTTCCAACTTGGAAGTTCCTAAGTTAGTTATAGAAACAGCACAAGGAGGGGAAGGTGAGCGCAACCAAGATAAGCACGAGCTGAAGGTTTCAGCTGTAAAAGACGTTGGCAGATGTTCATGCTGTTGGAGAGCGCATCTAAGATGTGCATTCAATATGTAGTAGAGCTGTTAGACAGTTAGTCGTAGGCCTTCAGTACCGTCGGGCAGTGTCGTGCAATGTTATCGCATGAGCTGATTGTTTAGTAACTGTTGGTGTTAGTGGACATTATAGCATAACTTGTAGTTCCTTGGTCCTTTTTCTTTCTTATATATTGGAAGGTATGAAACGTATTTTTGGGTATGTGACAATGTCAATGAGGAAGGGGTGAAAGTAATGCGAGCAAAACATGCACGGCGGCACATGTGTACGGAAAGAGAACAGGTACAGTGTATGCCTGGCTTGAGCATAAAATGCTAGAAGCAGGCAAAATGCAAACGTAAATAACTGAAGGACTAAATAGAAAAGAAAGGTACAAAGTCGGGAGAACCAACAACCATGAGTCACACAATATTCAGCGCGGTGTGCAGCACTTCAATCCCTGTAGTAGCACCTACAACTAGCATGCACAAACAAAACCACAGCTCCTAAAAGCAACTGATAATATTATGCGAATTCTTTGCTCCTTGTAGCAAAATACGCTGTATTTGGTACAATATGCTAGATTTGGTACTTTATGCAACCTTGAGTATAAAGGACCAAATTATGCGAAAATAGGCGGGCCCTCCCCAGGCCCTATCCACAATGTTTGACATTTTCTGTTGAAGAAAATAATAATGTACATGTACATGTACATGTATCTGTGCTTGATATACATGCATACATGCATACATACATGCATACATGTACATGCATACATGCATACATGCATACATGTATGCATGTATGTAAACGTAAAATCACGCAGAAACCAATACTGATGATGAGTATACTAATCATTAAAGGGTTACCGAAGTCATTCTGCACATGCCTCATGCCCTGATTGAAGTCATGCCCGTGGACGACAACGTCCGAATGTGAACGAGTTATGGGAGTTATGGGGTTGTTCTGAGGCTCGAATTTACAATGTAGGTGGGAGCAGGGGAAAAGATGGATGGACAAAATTCATACCTGTTGCTGGAAGGCACTGACTTCGGCTTGACGTTGAAGGACAATTGCAACCTGTAGTACACCTGCCTCGACTGGTATGCAATCACCCACCCTAGGCACTGTCTGCATGTACTACAATGTATCGAGCGTGCGCATGAACACCTTCTCTAAAAGCGGAACGGAAGAGTGCCGTGAGACTAGAACTTGGGATTCTCATTACGAATACAGTGCCGGCAGTGTGAGATTTTTAATGTTACTACATAAACGACACTGGGCGGGCCCGGGCGGGTGTCAGGCTGGGACGCTCTAGCCTAAAAATGCACTAATCATACACCATCCCCGATCGTGCAGATCATAGTGTTCCTGCATGCCAGAAGTAAATCACTTTTCGCAAGTGTCCAATCATGTACAATGATTATGTCATGTAGATGTAGATGTAGCTTCCTGTTCCAATTCCAGGCAATGGCCAATGCATCACGGCGCGATGAACGTGTGCTTGTTTGGCGCGAATCGTTCATCGCCGGCGCCCCCCCCCCTCCCCCCTCACGCACAACGAAAATGAATGCACCTGATCCAAGCAGAAATTCGTGCACGTGTATTTCATAATGCGAAAGTGCAAACTTACTATCCACGTGTACGTGTCCGCGTCGTCGCAGTCATCACAATCTCACGCACTAGTTGTTGAACTGGACGAGAGGTAAAGAGGAGGAAAGGGTTTCGGTGGCGGCAGTTCCGCCAAAAGACACTGCTTGCATATGCTACGTTTATTGTCAGCAACTGGCAGAGCATCCTGCCGGAACTCACTCAATTCGATCAGGAACTGCTCCTTGGTACACGGGTGTACGAGGTTTTGTTTGCAATGCCAAGATGTTTCAACAGTATTTACCGGCGATGTCATCACTGTCATCAGTCGAGGATAAGGCAGTAACCGCATTCCTCACCACTCGCAATACAGTGTAATTACATGCACTTGATTGTATATTGTGTGTTGCTCCCTACGTGGGAGCTTGCGCTATTCCTGCCGACTTGACCTCTCACTTGACTGACTCACGACTGCCACCCAGGGCACACAAGAAGTCCATCGAACCGTCCTCCACTCGGCAAACCTGCAAGAAAGCACCACTCCCTGCTCAATACACAGTGTTTCGGGGAATTCACCCCTCAGGACCCTCATCAGTTGAGCTTGAGTAGGCTGAGGAAGATTGACTGATTGTGCCTGAGGTGCACCACTTACATGTACAAAGTACATATACAGTCAAACCTCTTTAGAACGAACATCAAGGGACCGATGATATTATTTTGTTCGCAATAACGGGAGTTCTTCTTATCCATGTGTTTTACCCAGTGAATACACAGGGTTTTATCCAATACAGTTACGAATACTAGTTCTTCTTAGGCAAACATTTGTCTTATCAGTGGTGTTCTTCCTAACGAGGTTTTCACTGTACATGTATTTACATGTACTTGTACTGTAGTGCTCTCCAGGAACAAACATCACCAGGGATACAAACTTACAGAGACGCTCCGTTTCCAGCGCGACAAACACCTCGTGAACACCAGATAGCAGTCGTGTGCTCTGGATGGCAGTCGTGAGTCAGTCAAGTGAGAATTCAAGTCGGCAGGAAGACCGCGAGCTCCCATATGTAGGGAGCAACACACAATTCCCCAAGTATCGGCGAAGTCACATAACCTCTTCTTCACATTGATTGTATGTCTAACACAATGTACATGTACATGATGTATTTTCGCTCCTGCTCTTGTAGTAGTT